CATACAAAACCTATACTGTCTTGAAGTGGAATGAAACTAGAATTCAACCATGTTGGAATGTTTAGCAGTGTTGACTGTCTTGAAGGCTGAATATCTTTTCTAGATTAAGACAGAATACAGCATGATTATAGTTGATTATATTCAGAATTTTGAAGACTATATAATCTTTTAAAAAGTTATTTTAAGTTCTAAATAAATCATTTATCAACTGAAATATTTTAACTGAGGTTGGTCAAAAAGCAAATCAATGTACTATACAAAACTGCCAACTTAAGTTTTGGGGTTTTTTTTGTTGCAAAGAGTCAAAGAGAAATTTGTAGATAAAAGCTATTAACTATCAATGCAATCTTTAACATTTCATCCTTCGTAGCCTTTTGACACCAGTGCAAGTTATTAGGGTTGATGTTTACATTCTCCTCTGTGTCTTGGCCTTCCACTCAGACTGTGAGAGAGATGGCTAGTGCCCCATATTCATATAAGAAATTTTATGCAAGCATGACTTCCCTGCCTTTTCTGTGCTTCAGGCTATTTCCAATGCTAAAATGACATGTTTCTCTTACTGCTATTCAGTGAAACCCATTTAGCTTGTAAACATGGTAGAAATTAAGCCCCCGTGCATTTTATTTTTTGGTATTATCAGCCTACCCACATGAAATAATATTCCTATAGGCAAGACTTCAGTCTTGGCTCCTTTCCCCCCATGAGTTTGACTTGCCTCTAGCCAAATAAGAAATCAAAAACATGTAATCCCACCAGACCATTATGAATTTATCAAGACAGCCACCACCTTTCTGAATAGCGTAAGACTGATTATGTGTCTGGTTGAGCTAGAAGGAATATGGTAGCTTTACAAAGCCTTTTCAGAATTATTTGCAGAGTTAATGTGGCCAAAGAAACTCTATGTCTCATTGAAATCACCACAGAGAATTGTGCTGGTCGTATGATATTATACAGAACATCTCTTTATAATAGTCCTCCCTCCCAATTTTAAGTTTTATTAGGTTTCCTGTTACAAAATATTAATGGAAGACCAATTGTATTTTACTCAAGAGTCACAAGTTAGAGTATTTTTCCATTGCAAAGCTGCAGTACCGAAGTCCAGTGATATTCCTACTTTTCTTGTGAAAATATTATTAGCGTCGGCATTTAAAAAACCATCTCTTTTCATTATTAGATTACTCTCTGCCAAGAGAAAAGGTAACTTAGTAACTCAGGGTAAGTAGCAGTTTCTTTTCCCATTATTTTGCTTGTTTAAAAAAGGGAATTCAGTTTGCAAAGCAGGAGCTATTGCAGTTACCCAAATTTACTTCCATGTGGGAGTTTGAAGTATAGCTATAGGCTTGTAATAAAATTTAAAATTAGATGAGATTGCCATGTAGATAACGAAATTTAAAAGTGCATTATATTTTTTCACTTCCATATTGTAAAAGTTTTAAGTAAACAGAAATCCTTTAAGGTGTTCTATTAAGGGAAAATCAGCAATGTCCAAACTGGATTCAGCTGGTGTGCATCTGTGTCACCTGTCAACCTATGAGGATCAGTGACGGAAGCCAAGGTGGTGGGTTGCACTGGGGGTGGATTGAAGGGTAATTGCATTGTGGGTGGCGGGTTGTCTATGTATGCATATGTGTACATGTTTGTAATGTATATTGTGGGTGTACTGCAATTTTAAAATAAAAAATAAAATAAAAAATGTATTACTTTTAAAAGGGTTTTCTTATGTGGTTTTGCCAGTTCATTGCCCTAAAATATAGCCCACAGCACCTGGTATTTTTTGGCAGTCTCCTATCCAAGCGCTAACCACCGCTGACACTGTTTTACTTCCAAGATCAGCCAGATCTAGAACATTTTTAATCTAGAGTTGCTCATGCAAGAAGCCAATACAGTATGCTAGACACTACATGACGTACTTGACGGTAGAGAGCAAGCAGTTGATGTAACACTTATGTGAGATACCTACTGGTACTAGGGAACCTTCAATTGCTAACTCTATCTCCATGTGTGTTATTTTACTTTTCTCCACCAGGTAGGATTCATTAACATTAATCATGAAAGAAATAAACAAAAGCATTGTCAGAAAACAGTGCTGAAACTAAACAATTTAGAATCCCAGAGCATTTGGTTTCTTCTTCTCATCAAACCACAATTGATTTAAATCTAAACGGATGGAAAGATGAACCTCTTGTCATACTTAAAACAATGAGGGAGAATTTCCACTTAGCAGATCTTTCAATGAGTAGATGGAACCACTCAATTCCTTAAGACAATGCGATGATAGATACCTTCAATTTATCGGTTGCATCATTGGTGTCATTGCAATTTTTGGGGAAATAGAGAAAGTACAGGAGAAAAAGTGAGGAGAAAGAACAATTCCAGATAGAAAGGATGTTCAGATCTAGTAAAAGTGATTTTTTTCCCCCTGGCCATTAGGATCCCCTTTGGCACTGTTCCCTGTGGGCTAGAGAGTGAAACACTCCTTTTTTGTAATATGGCTGTACACATTGAAGAAGGGCCCACAGATGCATACTTGGAAGAAAGTCCCACCATGTTAGATATGGCTTATTCCTTAGGAAGTGGTTTTACGATTACAGCTTTAGTACCTGTGTCTTCCCTCCACCTGCTACTTGCATAATGCAACACCACACCACCACATGTCAAGAACTGCATTTTCTGCCTCTGCTTGAATAATGCAGACTTCCAGCCTCTTTCAAAGACTTTACCACACATTTACTCCAAAATAATGCACTTCCCAAAGGAAAACAATTTAAACAGAGGTGCTTGTTTGACTAGAAGACTTCCACATAGCAACAGAGAGCATTGTTATGCCTGAGGACTTCAGGCTAATTGCAAGAATTCATGGTCTCAAAACGATAATGGACTCTGGTTTACCAACATCTTATCAAATACACAATAAATGGTCAGTGGCTAAATTTTAACATATAAAAATTAGACTCTATAGAATATTTATAGAATGATCATGCCTTCTGCTAAAACAAGTAATTCTGTATGGCACCAATACATACTTATTTACATTTTCTTTTACTTGGGAAAACATCCAGAATTAGGTGTCTCCTTAGTAAGAAACTAAGATTTCCAGACATAGCACACCAGTAGAAAATCCATTGTAGTTCTACACCCATTTCTAAATAAATATATTTCAGAAAGGACATAATATTTTGGAGATTTTCTTATTTGCCAGAAATTTCTCAATGGGAAGAGAGCAACTACATCTTGTTGATGTTTCTGTGCCAACAGGCAAATATTCACACACATAACAACACTGGATGTTAAAGAGTCATAATTGCTAACACCACAGATTGTTTTTTTTTTAAATGGCTCATGGAATTCTTGGCAAGGGGTGTTTTAAAACAAATGATAGGACCTGTATGAATATACATTTGAGAGACAGCAACTGTCAGGACACTGAAGATTACTTTGCAGTATGTTTCGAAGGCTTATCAAGGTCCCACTTCACCAGCCCCCAAGACATTGTCTGGTACTTTCCAAAGGAAGCAACATAAACATGCAGTGCAGTTGTCTAGTGATATCAAGCATGTGTGTTGTGGCTCCTAGCCACTCCTCTAAAACATTTGTCCAAGATTCAGAAATTCATTTATTCCCCCTTTCACAAATTTGCTCCTTTTTTTTTTCAACCCACCAATATATTTGTGTTGTCGAAAGTTTTCATGGCCGGAATCATTGGGTTCCTGTGAGTTTTCTGGGCTGTGTGGCCATGTTCCAGAAGCATTCTTTCCTGATGTTTCATCCACACCTATGGCAGGCATCCTTAGAGGTTGAGGGGATCTGTTGGAAACTAGGCAAGTGGGGTTTATATATCTGTGGAATGTCCAGAGGGGGAGAAAGAACTCTTGCCTGCTGGATGCAATTGTTAATGTTGGAATTGGACACTCTGATTAGCGTTGAATGGCCTTGCCTAGTTTCCAACAGACCTCACAACCTCTGTAGATGCCTGCCATAGATGTGGGTGAAACATCTGGAGAGAATGCTTCTGGAACATGCCCATTCAGCCTGGAAAACTCACAGCAACCCACCACTATAGTTTTCCTATGGTTCTACTTTACAAATTATGGTATCACTTATATTAAAACAGAAGGTTTCCCTAGAAAAAAACCAAAAAAAAAAAAAAAAAAAAGGAAAACCAACAGCATACTGGAATAAGCAATACCTCTCACATTGCCCAAAAAAGACAAGGCTTTATAAAATTTCTAGCATTGTATTACAGTAAACAACCACCAAGTCATGCCATTCAAATGTTTATCCTTCCTTCCTTTGGATTTGGAGTGGTGCCTTTGATTTGAAATAGTATGTCTTGTGTGCACTTGTGTGTGTGGGTAAAAGAAGTAGAGGGAGGGGAGGGGGTTGAGTCAATGGTCAAAATGCAAAGCAATGTATCTCAAACAAAATACAGAGAAGATCAAAATTTGGTGTGATTTCTTTTGCTTCCCGTGTGGAAACCCATGACCAATCGTCAACAGACCCCTCAACCTCTGAGGATGCCTGCCACAGATGTGGGCGAAACGTCAGGAGAGGATGCTTCTGGAAAATGGCCACATAGCCCTGAAAATTCACAGCACCCTATTGATTCCAGTCATGAAAACCTTTGACAACAAATTGCCTCCTGTTTGGAAGTTCAGATTCCAGGGCCATTCAGGCAAACTAGTTGTCATGACTCAACTTGAGCAGGGGAGGGGAGAAAGAGGAGGACCTGTGTGTGTGTGTTTAGACAGCAGGCTTCCTTCATTCACAAAATCCCCCCTTCCCAGGTTGAAACGTCCCTAAAGCCAAGGGAAGGTCTGCTCTGCTCTGCAACCGGTAGTCAACCCAACTGTTGCAGGGATGTGACTTGGAAACTCAAAGAAACACCCACCAAGCGAGGCACACAGGAAAGGATGCGAGACGGAGAGAGGAGGGTGCTCTGGCTGAGAAGAGGAGGCAGGCAAGGCCGGGAAGGGCCCCGATCCCGTGGCCGTCTTCCTTACCTTGAGGATCAGGTCGGCGTGGTGCTGGTCCAGCATGTTGGCCTTGACGAAGGAGGTGACGACGACCCTCCCGTAGCGGCCGGGCGTCTGCAGGTCGGAGTAGAGCCGGTGCTTGGAGCGGTTGACCGGGAAGAGGCTGTTGACCAGGTTGCGCTCGATCCTGGCCAGGCTGTGCTTGGGGGCCAGCAGGTGCTCCACGCTGCCCTCCACCCGGTAGCGGCTGAAGCTGGCGCCCAGCAAGATGGAGAGCAGGACGGGCGCCGAGGCGAAGAAGACCGGGTGGCTGGCCACGAAGTGCCCGAGTCTGGCGAACGACGATCTCAGCCCCCTGTGCAGGACCTGCCGCAACATTCTAGGGCAGGCGCAGCAGCAGCTCCGGGGGGGCCGGGCGGAGGAGCAGGAGGAGGAGGAAGAGGAGGAGGAGAGGGAGGAAGAGGAGGAGGGAGGAAGGCTCCGGCCGGGCGCTCCGGGAGGAGAGCGGCCCACAGCATGGAGGGGCCGGAGGGCGGCAGAGGGAGAGCCAGCCGGCCACCAAGCTTCCCCTCCCTCTCCCTCTCCCTCCCTCCCTCCTTCCTCCTTTGTGGTGGGCGCTACAGCGCGGCGCCGCCTCCCCTCCGGCGGCTCATGAGGGGAGTTTCCCCGCGCCTCATTGTCTGACTTTAAACAGCAACAAAGACTCTCGAGGGAGAAAGGGAGGAAAGCGAGGAGGAGGGGAAGGAGCAGGGGAGGGGGGAAAGCAGGCGCGCGAGGAGGAGGAGGAGGAGGAAAGAGGAGGAGCCAAGGGGGAACCGAGGGGCGCCCAAGCCCTCAATGGGGCTGGCCTTCTTCTTATGGTAGCTGCTCCTCTTGTGTCAAAATTTCCCTCTCAAAGCAGTCCAAGGGAGGGAGGTTTAAGGGTGAGGGGCAATCAAGCTGGCGACACCTATTTTGTGGGGGGGGGGGTTGTCTTAGGCTGGCTGCTCCTGGAAGGAGTCGTGTGTGTGTGTGTGTGTGTGTGTGTGTGGGGTGGGGGGTGGGGACCAAGTTGGTGGAGAAATTCGGGTTTTTAAAAAACCCAGTCCAAGGGAAGGGGGTGGATTATGAGCTTGAATTGACAGTGACACCTATTTGAGTTTTTTTTTTTAAATGATGACTGCTCATGGAAGGAGTAGTGTGGAAAAAATTGGGGAATTTTTAAAGCCAGTCCAAGGGAAAGGAGTGGATTGTGAGGGGAATCAAGCTCGCCTTCAGAGTGACACCTATTTGGGTTTTTTTTTTTAAAAAAAAATGGTGGCTGCTCTTGGAAGGAGTAGGATGGAGAAATTTGGGTTTGTTTGGGCTTTTTTTTTAAAAAGCCAGTCCAAGGGAAGGAAAAAGATTGTGAGGGGAACTAAGCTTGTGTTGAAGGTGGTGCCTATTTGGTTATTTAAATAGAGTGGCTGCTCTTGTGTGAAAATGTGGGGTTTTTTTAAAAGCGGTTCAAGAGAGGGAGGTGGAAGTGTGAGGGGGAATCGAGCTGGTGACACCTATTTGGGGGTTTTATTTGAGGCTGGCTACTCTTGGAAGGAGGAGGAGTATGTGGGGAACCAAGCTTGTGTTGAGGGTGGCACCTGTTTGGGTTTTTTTTTTTTAATATGATGGCTGCTCTTGGAAGGAGTAGTGTGGAGAAATTTGGGGATTTTTTTTAAAGATGCCAGTCCAAGGGAAGGGAGTGGAATGTGCGGGGAACCTACCTGGGTTGTATTTTTGTAATGGAAGGAGCGGGAATTTGGAGATTTAAAAAATACAGCCCAAAGGAAAAAGGTGGAAGCGTGTGAGGGTGGCACCTATTGGGGGGGGGGGGTTAATGGAAGGAGMGGAAATTTGGAGGTTTTCAATAATACAGCCCAAAGGAGAAAGGTGGAAGTGTGTGAGTGAGGAACCAAGCGGGTATTGTGAGTGGCGCTGCCCTTGGAAGGGGGAGTGTGTGGAAATTGGGGGGGGGGGTGTTAAAGAAAGCAGCCGAAGGGAAGTGGGGGTGTGCGGGGAGGGGGCGAGGCACGCTTGCTGACTAATGCGACTCGGAGTGAAGGAATGGAGGAGGGGGAAACGGGTTAAGCCACCATTCACACATGTATGGAGAGAGATCGCAAGAGAGCTGAATCGGGGACTGTGGCTGCCTCAGGATGAGGAACCTGCTGCTATTCGGTGGCGAGAGGAGGGAGGCGGCGGACCCGCCCAGGAGGAGATCCGGGTGGCGCACCTGCAGAGCGGGAGGAAGGGCTGGAAGGGGGGGGCACCCGGGCCCTCCCCTCCGCGAGGCTCCTCTCTCTCTCTTTCTGGCGCCTTGGGGCGCGCGGCGGGCTAGCGGCGAGGAGGAGTGGCGCCCTTTCCTCGGCCCATCATCCCCCCCCCCCCGCCGCCGCTCTTCTGTGGGATCCAGAAGGCTCGCTGTCAGTTTGTGCTGGATCCAACCTCCCCACGGAAAGCGAACCGGGGAATCCGTTACCTGCAACTTAGGTGGAAGTCTCCCCAATGGCCAGTGATTAATCACTAGGGCAAGGATCCTTCCTTCCTTCCTTCCTTCCTTCCTTCCTTCCTTCCTTCCTTCCTTCCTTCCTTCCTTCCTCCTCGGTGGCTGACTGGAGTTGTGATTGGGGTTTCTTCCCCCCCCCCCAAAAAATATCTGGCCCCGATCCGATCCTACTTCAAGTCAGATCCATGCCGACGGAGGAGGCGTTGCCCAGGGCCGAGAGGGAGAAGGGAGCGGCGGGAGGCGGGTGGACACCTGGCGCATGGCAAAGTTTGCAGCCTCCTTCCCAAGGCGTCTCGCCCCGCTCCGCTCCGATCCGCGCCCAGACCCGACGCCGAGGGTGTCCTGGGGGGCCGGGCTGCGGGCGGGCGCGCGCCTCTTCCTCGCGCTCAAGCCATGGCGGGGCTGGAGAGACGCCTCGGCGATTTCCCTCCTCCCTCTGTCTCGCGCTCGCTTGACTCCGTCTGCCTCCTTCCTTCCTTCCTTCCTTCCTTCCTTCCTTCCTTCCTTCCTTCCTTCCTTCCCTTCCTTCCTTCCTTCCTTTTTTGTCTCTCCCGCTCTCCGTACGATGCTGCTTCGATGCTCTTGCTCTCCCGGCGGTGCGAGGAGGAGAGAAACTGCCCAGGCTCCAGCCTGAATGGGCATGTGCGGATGCCTCCTCGCACATGCCCATTGAGGACGGGAAACCGCGCGGAAGCGGGCGCCCTTAACCCTTTGCCCGCAGCGCGCCTCCAACCCCTTCTCTCCCCCCCCCCTCTCCCAGGCAGACACCTGTTTGGCCCCGATGGGAAAAGGGCGCCCGGGAGACAGGCACAAGGACCCGAGCTTTTGACACCTGGGCGGTGGAGGCAAGGGGACCTTGAGGAGGAGAGGAAGGGCGAGGGGAGCGGAGCGGGGAAGAAACCTCTTGGGAGCACAACAGGGTGGCATGGCCCGCCGCAAAGGAAGGGCAACTGGAGGTGGGAGACGGGCTGGAAAAGCACGTCTGGCCGCAGCTCCCCAAGCCTCCTCTCCTCTCCAGGGTCCTTCTCACTAAGAGCCAGGGAAGGGGAGGAGAAGGGGGGCTCTCTTCAGTGAGAGGGGAGGCTGTCTTCAGTGCAAGAGAGACTCCTCACTGTCACACCTGTCTCCTCCTTCCTTCGTCCTTCTTCTCCCTCCCCCTCTTCTTCCTCTTCTCCATCTTTCTTCTCTTCCTCCTCTTCTTCCTCTCTCCCTTCATCCCCTTCTCTTCTTCCCTTTCCTTTTCTTCCTTTTTTCCCTTCTCTTCTTTCCCCCCTCTCTTTTTCCTTTTCCTTCTCCTCCTCCTCTTCTACCTCCTCCTAGTCTTCTTTTCCTCCTCATTTCCTTACTTTTTTTAACATCTTCTTCCTCCTTTCTTCTTCTCCCCGTTCCTCTTCTCTGTCTTTCTTTTCTTCTTCCTCTTCTTTCTCTCTCCCTTTATCCTCCTCTCTTCTTCCCTTTCATTTTCTTCCTCTTTTCCCTTCTCTTCTTCGCCCCTGTCTCTCTCTTTCCTTTTCCTTCTTTTTCATCTATCTATTGACTACTCCTAATAGTCTTCTTTTGTCTACAACATTTACATTACTTTTTTACTATTACCTCTACTGTGTCTTCTACATCACATGTCCTATCACTGGACTTCTTTATGATCCCTACTCTACTCTTAGTCTTACATCTTCTTATTACCTCTTATTCTACCCTCTATATTATATCCTTTTCGTCACTCATTGAACTTTCCTCATTTTCGTGACACCTCTCCCTATCTTTTCTTTTATTCATTTGTAGGGACACATACGAGCTTAAACGCCGTAAGTATTAATTTTCCTCCTAAAACATTTTTACTTTTTGATGACGTAATCGGACTCCTACTTCTTTGATCCTGCTTTACCGCCCCAGTCGTCAGCTTCCCCATCAGTCTTTTCTCAGCCTCCGCATGTACTGTCCTCGAGTTCCCCACTATCTCGGCTTCCTTCCCTTACTACGGTTACCTTATCTCCTTATTATTGATCTCCTTCATCTCCCCAATCTTGTCTTCTCCTAATCCTCCTTCGTTTTCTTCCCTTCCTTTTCCTCTTACCATTCCCCTCATTTCTGTAA